AGATATGGATCTACTTTCATTCTTCTACAGATTGACATCCAGTTTTGCCAGCACAATTTGTTGAAGATGCTCTCTTTTTTCCATTGTATACTTTTAGCTCCTTTATCGAAAATCAGGTGTTCATAGGTTTGTGGGTTAATGTCAGGGTCTTCTATTCGATTCCATTGGTCGACTTCTCTGTTTTTATGCCAATACTAAGCTGTTTTCAATACTGTAGCTCTGTAATAGAGTTTGAAGTCAGGGATGGTAATGCCTCCAGACAATCCTTTATTGTATAAGATTGTTTTGGCTATCCTGGGTTTTTTGTTTTTCCATATAAAGTTGATTATTGTCTTCTCCAGATCTGTGAAGAATTTTGATGGGATTTTGATGGGTATTGCATTGAATCTATAGATTGCTTTTGGTAGAATTGCCATTTTTACTATGTTGATCTTCCCAATCCAAGAGCAAGGGAGGTCTTTCCATTTTCTGGTGTCTTCTTCAGTTTCTTTCTTCAAAGACTTATAGTTCTTGTCAAGTAGATCTTTCACTTCCTTGGTCAGAGTAACCCCAAGATATTTTATGCTATTTGTGGCTATCGTGAAAGGTGATGCTTCTCTGATTTCCCTCTCTGCTTCCTTTTCCTTAGTGTATAGGAAGGCAACTGATTTTTTGGAGTTGATCTTGTATCCTGCCACATTACTAAAGGTGTTTATCAGCTGTAGGAGTTCTTTAGTAGAATTTTTGGGGTCGCTTATGTACACTATCATATCATCTGCAAATAACGAAAGCTTAACTTCTTCCTTTCCAATACGAATCCCCTTGATCTCCTTATGTTGTCTTATTGCTATTTCTAGAACTTCAAGCACTATGTTGAAGAGGTATGGAGAGAGTGGACATCCTTGTCGTGTTCCTGATTTTAGTGGGATGGCTTTGAGTTTTTCTCCGTTTAATTTAATGTTAGCTGTTGGCTTGCTGTAAATAGCTTTTATTATATTTAGGTAGGACCTTTGTATCCCTATTCTCTCCAAGACCTTTATCATAAAGGGGTGTTGAATTTTGTCGAATGCTTTTTCTTCTGCTTCTTCTATCCCTATTATTCTCAGGTTTGGTCTTTTCATGGTGTCTCAGATTTCCTGGATGTTTTGTGTTAAGACATTTTTGGATTTAGTGTCTTCTTTGACCAATGAGCCTATCTCCTCAATAGAATCTTTAGCACCTGAGATTCTTTCTTCTATCTCTTGTATTCTGTTGGTTATAACTGTCTCTGTAGTTCCTGTTTTTTTTTACCCAGATTTTCCTTTTCCAGAGTTCCCTTGGTTTGTGTTTTCTTTATTACCACTATCTCAATCTTCAAATCTTGAGCTGTTTCCGTTACCTGTTTGATTGCTTTTTTGTGGTTTTCTTGGGTTTCTTTATAAAATTTATTCATTTCTTCCAGCTTTTTGTTTGTCTTCTCCTCTATTGTTTTAAGAAGTTTTTTTTTTACTTCCTCTTTAAAGTTCTCCATCATTTTCATCAAGTATCATTTAAAGTCATTTTCTTCTATATCTTTTGGGTTAGGATGATCAAGTCTTCTTTTTGTGTGTCTGCTGGGTTCTGGTGGTGTCATGTTGCATTTAGGATGTTGGAGAAGTCCTTATATTGGCACACTCCCATCTCCTCCTTATGTCTTATGTCTCTTATGTTCACCAAGTATTGGTTTCCATGGAGCTCACATGGAACAACACATTGGGGGTTGGGTAGATTGCTGTTTAGTGGACCAGCTCCCTCCTGTTGCTAGGAATGCTGAAGGTATCTGGGGAGGGGGGTCCCTGGCTTTTCTCCCATGTAGAGATTTTTGTGAGTGGAGGATCCGGGGTCCCAGGGCACTGTCATCTCATGTCTTATGTTCATCAAGTATTGGTCTTCATGGAGCTCACAAGGAATGATGCCAGAACTCTGCATTTTGATCAGTAGGTTTTTGCATTGATCTTTGTCTGTCACAAAGTTACATTTCCTTAGTGAGGGTGAAAGACTACACTTATCTATGGGTATGAGGAAAAGCACTTTGAAAGTAGTCAGGAATTATGCTGTTTTAGTAAAAGAGCAGTTGTAGAATCTCCTCCAAGATTCATGACTCCAGCAGGCTGTGCATTCTAGTACCAGACAGGATTTCTCCCTCCTGAGCAGGCTCGAAGTCCAAACTGGGAACTGTTGGTTACAGCTAAGGTATGTGTGTCAGTGCTGCACTATTTGGACTGTCATGCCAGGGCAGAAACTTTTGTTGTTGTTGTGCTCTCATTTTCTTTTGTCTTGGAAACAGGGTATTCTGTCTATATAGCCTTGACTGTCCTGGATTTTACTCAGTAGATCAGGCTAGGCTGGAACTCAGAGTTCACCAGCCTCTGCCTCCAAAGTGCTGAGATTAAAGGCTTTGCACCACCATGCCCAGCTCTGGCCCAGCACACACTGTTAAGTGAAGTGCTCAGGGCTAGCCTCACTGTGAATATTCTACCTCAGCAGATAGTTGAAAGAAGAGAGCGGTCAGGTGTAAAGGTGACAGGAGGATTAGCAAGATCAGGAGGAATGAATACAGGAGAGGTAGGAGAGATTCAGAATCTGGGGCAGGGCATTCACATACTGTGCTAGGCAGTGGGAGACATTGACATGGTAGGACGGCAGCTAACTACAGAAGCAGTTACAACTAGATGGCAAATGCTGTTGGATATAGGGAAGACTTTAGGTGGGATCTGGAAGAGCTGGTCCCTCTGTGAATGGAGACCTAATGCTTTGCTCAATTGGGGGAGCAGCGGGTGTGTGGGAAATATCTTTCATGTACCCACAAAAAAGTATGTGTTAGGTACTGGGAGTCTAAGGCAATAAAGCTTGTTGTTCTGATCCTTGGTATTCAGGAGTCAAACATCACCTGCTACATTTGATAATCCGAGAAGGACACAGTGCCCAGCCACCCATCAAAAGCATCTTTGTCTTTTCCAGTTTTTATTAGTGTATATTAATCATTAAAAGGGAGGCTTTCATTGTGTTACATATATGCACATAAGATAATTTGGTTCTATTTATCCCCATAACTACTCCCTGTTATCCCTCCTCTCCTCCCTTTCCCAATTCCTTCCTACAGCCACAATGCTGCTTCATGTAACTTTAATACACTATGTGTTGGCTTTTAGCTTATTTTTGACCCTTGTGGTTTTCATGAGGGGTATTTGTCTTTCCCAACCTGGCTTATTTTCCGTAAGATCCATCGTCTTTCCTCAACTACTGCAGCCTGTCTTTGCAGCCACGTGAAACCACCTTTAGTACTGGCACCACATTTCCCTTATCAATTTTTCCATGAACTGGCACCTAGGCTGAATCCATGATTTGGGTTCTTTTAGTAGTATGGATAGTCATGCATCTCTGTAGTAAGGTGCTTTTGGTTCCTTTGCTTTAAGTCCATGAGTTAAGTTAGGGCTAGACTATGTGGAAGTCCTATAGTAAATGTTTTGAGACACCTCCATAACTATCTCCGTGATTGTCAGACTGATTTACATATCCTGGTAGAAGCCTTCCTAGCTCCTTCAACCAAGCGCTGCACTTGGCCTTTCCATTCCTTTTTCCTTTATGAGTGTGTGAGTGTGTGTCTTTGTGTGCATGTGTCTATGTGTGTTTGTGTATTTGCATTTTGATGGGGTAGCACAAACATCTTTGATCACAAATCTTCATATACTAGTCTAGTTATTTCCCTGGTTTCAAAGGGAAGCTGCTGTCATTCCTAATAAGCTCCATTAGTGCTCAAGCCCTATGTGATCACTCATAGGCACTATACCAGGGAATGGTAGGCTCTACTACCTTTAATACAGGTGGTAAATGAGTTCAGAGAGGTCAGAGAGCATGCCAGGAGCCAAATCATCTGTTAAAATTCTCTCTGCTCTATTTCCGGGCATCAACCGTTTCATGCCTGTATCCCAAACATGTACTCATAAATGCACCCATGGCTAAGAATTATAGTTATATAAACCCTGATAGCCCCTGCAATCATTGAATTCACTCCACTATATCAACTCCCCTTCTGCCTGTTCTGTCCCCAGTAATTACAGCTATTAGGTGCATGTATAGGCTTCCCAGAATTGGAACATGGCCTGTGTCTCTGTGCTGGGCCGTCCACAGCATTCTGTGCTCTTTAAGATCTGACTTGTGCTACTAAAAAACTGTAAGACATGGAACTTGCCGGCCAACCTCAATCTGTGTCCAGTGGTTTTCTCCTAGGGTTCATTTTGCTTTTCTCTGGTTTTCTCTTGTCTCAGCAAGGGATGCGAGATAACCAAGTATGGCCTGAGCTGCAGGTTATGTAGAGCACATATTGTGCCCAGGAATCTCGCACATTGATCCTCTCTGGTTGATGTGGCCATGGCTGATGGAGAGAGGGGTCCTTTGGAGTTGGATGAGGGGAGGTCTCTTTGATCGGTTCTGTTCTCCTGCCCAAGGAAGTGGGACTGCAAATGTATCACTGTTCTTAAGGCCTTAAGTGCTAGTGTTAGGAGCCAGTGTGTTTGTAGTCCCTGGAACCTCAAAGATGTCCTCTGAGACAGGACTCTTTCGAATCACATTTATGTGGAGGGACTGAGAGCTTATAGGAAATGTTAAAGAAGAGGCTAAGTGTGAAGCATTGCTTCCAGAGGCATCAGCATCTTACATTAAGAAATAGTGATCTGTGGGCTCCATGTGAAGGAATTCTGCCCTGCGGTTTTTTGTGGCACACATAAACAAGTACAAGGAAAACTGGGCTGAAACCAATGTTGCAAAGTCAAAGAGCACACTGTTTGCTTGTTGGTAGGTTGGTACCCATAAACAAAACAAAAGAAAAATGACTGCACAAAGTAGTTAGAACCTAAGGTTTCTATTGCTGAAACAAACCATCAAGGCCTCTTTTGAGATGTGATCTGTGAGTGCTGGTAGGTGCTCCAGGACTGTGTACAGAAAGAGCTGTTTTAAACAGGCCCTCTGTGTTTCTAATATGTGCTTTTTTTTTCTCTGAAAGAATGGACAAAGAGCAGCAGTCAGAGAATTCGAGATCACCCCTGAAGAAAACAAAACTAGTTAAAATCGAGAAAAAGAAACGTATTGGGTCTCCCTTGCCTCAGCAAGCTGAAAAGAAAAGAAAATCATCTTCCCCTAGAGTTGCTGAAGAGGAGATGTTCAAATGTGAATGCCGCTACTGCCAAGCTTGTATGGGGACTACGTCCGGAGTCTCTGTGGGGACCAGGACAGAAGCAACCTCTCATTCACCCTTCTCAGAAAAACTGATACAAGACTTCCATAACCTGACACTCAACCCTCGTTCCACCCAGCCCCCTGTTCTGCCAGAAGCAATGCAGACAAGTGAAAACAAATTGAATTTTCAGCGGAAAAACAAAAAGGGGTTTCAAAAGGTTCTCCCCAAATGGACAGAATAACTTTGGCATTGTCATCCTCATGTGAAGAAGATCAGAACCTACACTATCGTGCGTTTCAACATCACCAATCCCTAGGGTGATATGGTTTTGGTTGCATGGTCAGTAGGAGTATCAGCATCCAGCCTGGTGACAATAATACTTTCAGATGACAAGTTTCAAGTCTATCCCACAAATATAGCTGCCTTTTTCTTAGTAGTTTTGACATCCTCCCTGGGGCATTCTGGGAAGAGATACTCTTTGGCAAGGGCCACCACACAGCAGTAGTTCTATACTCCCAATGATGCTGTTTCCAAAACTTGAACAGGTTTTGACTCCTCCTTCCTTATGTTGTTGCCAATAAAGGTAGAACATTGATGTAGAGTGTATGTCTTTCTGTTTTCAAAACTGTGTCCATTCCATTTTATCGTTTGGAACCCAGAAGAATCACCAGGACTGACTGAGGTTTGCGTTCGTGCATGCGTGTGTGTATGAAATTTTTGTTTCAAATCCATTTTATCAATATGATGAAATATAATTCTTGTTTATCTAAAAATAATCAGAACATATTCTTTATGTAATTAGTCCCCCAGTTGTTTACCATACATGCTACACAACTTGAATACATGTTATAGACTGGAAGCAGGGCACTGGCACTGATACACAGGGTGTTTATACCTCTCTGTCACTGTATCATGCATGTAAATTCATGCAGTGATCACTGCACTCAGGTTTCATCTCTTCTGTCAGAAAAATTTTACTCATGTGAAGGCGTAAGTCACAAACAATGCCACACCAGTTTGGAATTATGATTAATAGGGTGGTATTTATTTAAAGGGGAAAAAACTTACAGATCTCTGTCCCAGACAACAGCCCTCTATGCAACCAGGAAGGGAGTCTAGTCACCAGTGGAGCAGGAAGTGAAGAGAGCAAGGAGAGGGAAGTGGCTGCTTTTTTAAAGGGAGAGAGACCACGCCCCAATGGGCTGGTATCTCAGCGGCTATAGGCTGGAGGAGTGGGAGGACCTCCCGCAACACTCATGCTGGTTTTTTATGATGACACCCAGCAGCGTGCTTCAACTGGGACAGCCATTGCATTGTTTGCTAGTTCCATTATCATTTCATTTCAGCAATGTCATAAAAAAATGGTCGGGGCTGGCCTTTTCCACTCACCACCATACTCTTAATTCTATACACTTGATTGCATATATCAAGATTCCATTTTGTGGGAATATCGCTTATGAGCACGCTGCTTGCCCAACATGTGTGGGCACCTAGATTTTATTCTCCAGCACCACACACACACACACACACACACACACACACACACACACACACCTCTCAGTTGCTACTACTTTTCATTGCTGTGTACCATACCATGATATGCGTGTGCTTTCAATTCTTTTTTCCACTCACTTGTTGGGGATTTTGGTTTCCATATTTTGGCTAGCTACTACAAGTAAAGCTTCTATAAGCAGGGAATGCAAAGCTTTGTGTGGAGAGAAGTTTTCTTTAGGGCAAAGATCCCAAAGCACAGTCTCTGGGGGACAGAGGCATTCACTAGGACAAAGACCCTAAACTACAAACCCTGGGTGACATGACAATTATAGATTTTCCTTAGTTTCATTTAAACATCCATCAAAACCACTTGTAAAACTCTGGAGGCCTGATCTGGGTGGTGATGGCATATGTCTTTAATCTCAGCACTCAGGAGGCAGAGGCAAGAGGATCTCTGATTTCGAGGCCAACTTGGTCTACAAAGTGAGTTTTAGGATAGCCAAGGCTGTTACAGAGAGTTACCCTGTCTTCAGAAAAGAAAAAGTAAGAGAAAAAGAAAAAGAAGAAAGGATCTCAGGGGTCCTTCTGTGACCTATATATTAAATATAGGATATAGAATATGAACTGTGGGAACAACACCTGCTATATATATCCAATATGCAAATGTTTTACTAGCCAAATAAAAATACTGCCCCCTTTTCCTTCAGTAACTGTGGGAGACTGAACAAACATGGCAGCATATGCTATACGCTATAAGTTTAGAATATTGGAAGTGCAAGAAAATAAAAAGCTTGATCTAGAGACAAATCAATTTTGTAGTGTTCACATGACATCAGAGGGCTCTGAGTTCAGTCTCTATTAAGTCAATGAAACAAATAAAGAATCCCAAAATTTTATGAAGTTATATACAATCAAAATTAAACCATTAGAAGTTATTCATGTTTGATATATGTAGAACAAACACACACACACACACACACACACACACACACACACACACACTCACATTTCACTGGGGCAATGCATACCCCTAATCTGGTTCCATATACTTGCTGTGCTATTGTAAATTTCACGTCCCCCTTTACTGGACTCTGCTGAGTGACAATTACAGAGAGAGACAATTTAAAATGCATCCTATCAAGGAAGATATATTATTCACTGCTGCAACATTTTTGCCATTGTTTTTTATTTAATTTATTTAATTTATTTATTTCTGTCTCTTCCCCACCACCGCCTCCCATATCCCACCCCCTCCCCCAATCAACTCCCCCTCTTTCATCAGCCAGAAGTGCAATGTACACACATGCAAGTGTTGGCATGTGTGTGCTCATGTGATTTCGTTTTAGGTATAGGGCCCGGTGAGATTTCCACCATCCATGCTGGCATGTCAACTGATGTTGTCATTGTGTAGGTCTTGTTTAGGTGACCACAGTGTTAAGATTTTTATGGGTTCAGCTTCCCTGGCACATATAGAAGACACTTTTTCTTCGCAGATGTCCTGGTCCTCTGGACCTTACAATCTTTCTTCCCCATGTTTCAGAATATTCCCTAAGCCTTTGGCATAGGGGTTGTGTTGTTGATGTATTTGTTGGGGATGTGCCCCCACAATCATTCTCCCTGTTTTCCCAAGTGTGCATTCCTGTAATAGCCTCCCTCTGCTGCAAAGCGAAGCCCCTTCGATGAAGGGTGAGATGTACTATGCTCATCTATACACATAAGGATAAGTGTTTAGAATGCGCTTGGAAAGTGTCCTGGTCTAGGAAGTGGCAGTAGTGGGCTGCCCTCTAGTACCCATGCCCTCACTATATTCTAACACTTTGCTGGTTTGTTTTGTCTTTCATGTTTTTTTTTTGTTTTTATTCTTCTCATTGTATATTGTTGTACTAGGTTTTAGGACTCTTTGTTTCCTTGTTTTTTGAAAAAGGGTTTCTCTGTAGTTTTGGAGCTTGTCCTGGAACTAGCTCTTATAGACCAAGTTGGCCTTGCACTCACAGAGATCTGACTGCCTCTGTCAGATCAGGCTAGATCTAGACCTAGATAGAGGTGGGCGGTCCTTGGGCTTCCCACAGGTCAGGGAACCCTGATTGCTCTTTGAGCAGATGAGGGAGGGGGACTTGATCGGGGGAGGGGGAGGGAAATGGGAAGTGGTTGTGGGGAGGAGGCAGAAATCCTGAATAAATAAATAAATTAAAAAAAAACTAAAATCAATCAAAAGAAATGGAGAAGGACCCTTTATACTCATAACAGGAGCAATACACCAGGATGAAGTCTCAATCCTTAATAACTGTGCCCCTAATATAACAGCACCCACATATGTAAAAGAAACATTACTAGAACTCAAATCACACATCAAAACCCACACTGTAATAGCAGGAGATTTCAACACTCCTCTCTCACCAATGTACAGGTCAAACAGACAGAAGGAAGTAGTCTTTCTATGTACAAATGATAAACAGTCTGAGAAAGAAATCAGGGAAACAACACCATTCACAATTCTCAAAGATAATATAAAATATTTTGGGGTAGCTCTAAGAAATGAAATCAAAGACCTGTATATCAAGTCTTTGAAGAAGAAAATTGGAGAAGTTATGAGGAAATTGAAAGATCTCCCATGATCTTAAATCAGTAGAATTAACATAGTAAAAATGGCTGTCTTACTAACAGGAATCTACAGATTCAAAGCAATTCCTATGGAAATTCCAACACAATTCTTCACAGTCCTTGAAAGAACAATACTCAACTCATGGAAAAGCAAAAAAAAAAAAAAAAAAAAAAATTCTAGGATTGCTCCAACAATCCTGTACAATTAAATAACTTCCAGAGGAATTGTCTTTCCTGATTTCAAGCTCTACTATAAAGCAATAGAAATAAAAAGTAAGTGGTATTGGCATAAGAACAGACAGGTTCCTCAATACAGTTGAATTAAAGACATGTAAGTAAATCCATACATCTATGGGCACTTGACTTTTGATGAAGAATCTAAAATTATACAATGAAAAGAAGAAACCATCTTCAACAGATAGCAGTGGTCGCAGACACACAGAGGCAGCACGGCGGCCAGACACACAGAGGCGGCAGCGAGACGCGGCGGAGCGACACCACATTCAGGAAGAGGCTTTGCGGGACCATCGCGGCGGCAGACCCAAGTGGCGGGGACAGGCGTGCAATAAGGAGAGCAGATCGCCCTACTACAATTAAATCAAAGAGGTAGGCCTTTGGTTGGCCAGGTCACTGGCACACAGGGAGCCTGGTCCTGTCCTGAAGACCCTTCGGAGGGGTGAGAGGGTTCTTGGCCTGCGGCAGGAACCAGGAAATAGAGCGAGGGCATTTTGTAAGTGAAGCCCTTGGCCAGCAGGGAAACCTGATCCGGTTTTTAAAAGACCCATTAGATAGGATCAATAGGAGGAGATGGGCAGGTACCAAGGCAAGAATTCACCCAATAATCTGAAAAAGAACATGAAAACACCAGAACCCAATGATCTTACAACAGAAGTATTTGAAAAACCTAACACAGAAGAAGTGGGAAAAATTGAATTTATGAAGGCAATAGAGTCCCTTAAGCAACACGTAAAAAATGCCCTTATAGAAATCGATAAGAAGTATAACAAAAAGTTTGAAAAAATGAGTAAATACGTGCATGATACCCTGGGAAACCAAGAAAAAATGACCAAACAGGTAATGGAAACAGTTCAAGAATTGATAACTGAAATGGAAGCAAGGAAGAAAACACAAACTGAGGACTGGCTG